TATCGATGTTTTAAATAAAAAAATTTTAATTTTTGTTCTGTTTGGATTTTTGGCATAAAAAAAATCAAAAATAATTTTTAAAGATTAAAAAAATCCGCGGCACTAATTTTTTTTTGAAAAAATAAAATATTTTGGAAATTTTTGGGAAAATGTTTATTTTGTCGTTTTCCAAAATTTTTTAAAAATTCATTACAAATTAAATGAGATATAACAAAAAATTGTTAAAAAATTTAGAGTGGCGAGAATTTGCAGAAAATGACTTTAAAATGCAAATAATTGGTTTACATTTTTGTAATATATCTCATTCTCATTTTTATAAAATTTTGGAAAACAATAGAAAAAACAATTTCTCAATTTTTTTAATTTTTTTCAAAAAAAATTGGTTTCGCGGTTTTTTTCAGCGTTCCAAAAATATATTCGAAATTTTTTATCACATTCTATTCTTTTATGCCTAAAATTCGAACAAATCAAAAATTAAAATTTATTTTCAAAAACATGGATAATCCCCTTTTTGTTACTTACCCTGAACTGTTACATATTATACAAATATCTCAACTTGAAGTGCGTACAGAATACAGATGTATTTTTAAATCCTTTCAACAAAAATGTATCAATATCAAGTTTTTTTCAGAGAAGATGGCGGCTTCTCCTATTAGTCAGCTTGCAAATTGGAACGACGATAAAGGAACATCGAGGGAGGGACTGCACAACTTCCCGGATAAGCTGGAGGGATGGCAGAACTCCAGAGAAGATGCATATCTAGAGGCTGCCGGACTCACTACAAACCAAATACAAACTTTTGCTTTTGATTATAATAAGGTAAAAATAATCATTTGCTGAAAGGATTGGTTGAGTTATTTATAAATGCATATAATATCGAAAGTTTTTGCTACTTATCTGAGCCTAATGTCTGCTCAAAGATAGCTTTAAATTCCAGGAATATAGATATGGTTAAAAATTAACCTTAAAAGTTTATCTTCCAGTAATAATCCGCACATAGTATCTCCTTTTTTCCGTTCGCTTCCAAATAATTGAAGAAATATCTTAAGAATTATAAGAGATATAAGCACACTGCACCTGCCTATATATTAATTGTATTCTTTTTGCAAAAAGAATTCAACGCTAAATTTTCTTGCCTTTGCTTGTTTTCTGTTATTTCGCTTAATAAAGAGCGGTTTACTTTTTCATATTAATTTTATGGTCGCTCGTTATTTCTTCTCAAGATGTATATTATAATAATGTTTCTTTGTCTGAATGGAGTTTCTTTATCATCTAACATTATTATTATTTATAGATGTCTGGCTTTCTTTTCCCACAGAACACAGACCAAAAGAAAACAAAGAAACAGGGCAAGCAACCAAAGATTACAGAACAAATTGATTCACAAATAAAGGAGAATATAAGCATGAATCCAAACATGGAGTTTGGAGGGTCAGAAAATGAAAAAATGTATATTGAAAGCGAAGACGAAAACAATCCAGATGATTTAGAACGTAGACTTTCAAATCAAGAAGGTAAGATTTTGGTAATTTCTATCTAGGATGAAAGCCTCGTCTTTGAATCGTATTTTGTTTATCTATTAGCAAACAATAACAAAGAAACAATTGACATAAGGCAAATATTTTATTCTGACTATACATAAACCTTCCCTGGTCATGTGAGGTCCTACAAAACATTTGGGCCGGATCGGTTCAGCCGTTTGGACATAAACAAACACAATAACAGACAAGCAAGGTCGTCATTTTTTCTCGTTCTAAAATTTTCGCGAAATGTTTTGTTTAAATTTGTGTGCGTTTTCAAAAACAAAAAATTTTGACATTTTTTACGGGAAAAAATGTTCGACGAGCCGTGATTCCCGTGAGCCTTCCCCAGGTCATGCGAATTGCCACAAAAATTTTGGGTTCGATCGGTTCAGCCGTGTTTACTTGTTTTGGATACAAACATATCAACACACACCCAAGCAAAGAAAATAGATTTACGACAAAGTTTGAATGCAATATTACACAATAATATATTCTCGAATTATTAGCCATCCTATAGAATAAACATAGCTTAGAGACTATAAAGCAATGTATACATATCTACAATATAATTTCAATACATTTCATATTTTCATTAAAGAATCTAAGACAATTTTTTCAGCTGAACTTCGGATTATTCAAGAGTCGCGGAAAAAGCTTAAAGGCGGAAGAAGAGGATCGAAAAAAAAGTTAAACATTTCAAAAATAATGAATCGACATTTAAATTACCAAAATTTGTTTTCAAGTTTTTTTTTCTTACAATCATTTCAATACATTACAGAACAGACCACCCGTTTTCCAAACTAGTCAAAGGATAAAATTATTGATTCAAATATAGCACTCCATTCAAAAATGATCGAGTTTGATTTCAAATAAATCTCAAAATTTTGTAAACCAGCACTTTAAAATTTTATAGAAACTTGATTGAAATTCTTTTTTCTTAATTTTGTAAATTTTGTCAAATTGTTGCAGAAGTGTATCTGGTGATATGTTACAAGGTGGAAATCTCATCAGAGCTTTGGCGGGAAATTTATCACCATTTAATGCACAGGTGTACAATTTATCTACAGTCATAATCATACTGACCCGGAATAAAATTATAATTAATCAGACTACTTAGCAATCTTATTTTACAAATATGATTAATGGAACGATAATATCCCTAATCCTGCCAATTCCAAAAGTTTTCTTCGTTTAAAATTACCAGAGATACGAATGTAGCACGTCAAACTAAAGTAAAATGCAAGTAAGATTAATAACTTATATGTTTTTGATCATAACTTCTGTTATTGAAGAGATATTGAAAAGAACAAAAATGTTTTGAATTTATAATATGTAACCTAATAAATTAGCTTTTCTTACACTTGTACGCAAAATCAGAACTAAAGGAGCAACGGAGTCAAAAAGCTGTGACAGTAATGTCAATTGAAATTGACCTTCTCCTTCTGGTTAGTTCGCAGTGGTAAAGTCAACTGATTAACTGTCAATTAATTCCGGGTCTGGTTATGATTGTACTTTAACTATCTTTTTCCTTACATAATAGAATTAGAAAGAGAATATGATACATAATTCAATGTTGGACCTGGTAGACTTCTATTTATCATAGAAATTTGAAAGAAAGAAAAAATCTTGAAGTAAAATTTATAGATTCAACTAACAATATTTATGTTGTCGGATAACCGGATAATTTTTGTTAATTATGTCAAGTTTGTATGTTTCTTATGGCCTTTTTAATTATACCAAATTAGAAAAAAAAGATTCATTTACATTAAGGGAAAGGGGTATTCGAGACCATAATTATGCAATATATGTAAAGTAGATTATACATGTGTACTTTTAATAAATTAAAAACAAGCTCTTTCTACTCCGCACATTCTAATCTCACATCTTTCTAAAAAAAAAAAGAATTAAAAATAGATATAATATTTGATATTACTCCATATTTTTCCAACTAGTTCTGCCAGTAAACCACTTGTTATTTACTTAACATCAATTTTTCACATGTAAATTCTTAATCCTTTATTCTTTTGTTAAGGTTGTAAAGTTCATGAATGATTATGAGCTGGTCTCCCGACTTTATCTGCACTATTATATGTATGCGGGGAAATAAATTGCATTCTTTTTGCATTCTTTTTGCACCATCTGTCACTTGACATCCTTTACAGCAAACCATTATTCTTTAAAAGCAGCATTTTACTTCAAATATATTTTCTTCAGTTGAGATACTTTTTCCTCCTAACTGAAGAAGAAGTTTTTTTTGTGAAGGGGAAAAAAAATAAAGGAAACAGTGGTAAGAAGGAAAAGGGGAATTGAGAAAAATATAAAAATAAGGGAAAATGAAAAATACAAATTTAGAAGTAGGATTTTTTTGGAAAAGCCAGGACAAAAGACTAGAAAACTGATGAAAGTAAAGAGATTTTCAAAAAGATTTGAAAGGAACTGTAAACCTAATATTGATGGAGTGGCATGTCCAATTCAAAATAATAACGTGAAAAGGTCTTTTCTAGTTTAACTAGATATCCATGTTGTTTTCTAGAAACTATTTATTCTTACTTGTTGGTTCTCTGCGAAAGTGTCTTTGAACTCCCTAAACTTATCCTTTTTCCATTTTGTTTGGTCTAGGAAGTTGCAAAAATAGAAAGTTTTATATATTAATAATTTGCAATAAATCGCAGCACCCTACCCCTATACCTTTCAAAGAAACGTTTGTCTTTCTTATTTCTTTCAAATGTTAAAAAATTCATAGTTCCAACTGTTCTTCTATTTAACTTTTGAATTTGAAAATGTCTTGTTGCATATGAATATAATTGAACAGTTGGATGGTGGCCATGCAAAAATATCAGAATATTAAATGCCTAATTGTGGAGTACAAACGCAGTACGTTTTAATTAGGTCTACAAGCTAGAAATGTAAACAAATCAGAGAAAAATCTAACAACGGATCGTACTGCATTGTTCATCTCAAAACGGGTTAAATGTCAACAACCAAGAGAAAACAAAGAGGAGAAGTTAAGAGATAAGGGAAGAGAAGAGTAGAGAAGAGAAAAAAAGAAAAGAGAAGAAAAAAGAAGAAAAGAAAAGAGAAGGAAAAAGAACAGAAGAAAGAGAAGAGAAGGAAAAAGAACAGAAGAGTAGAAAATAGAAGAGAAGAGAAAGAAGAAAAAATAGATTGCGTGAAATAGAGAGCTTGCATTTTACAGACGTTAAATCATAAAAATATGTTTAAGAATACCTTAAACTTTAAAATAATTGGAAAATTGTATGATATTTTTGAAAAAATGTAGTTGCCCTAACGTACATTTTTTTTATCAAGATTTTTGACCATTTGTCATTTGATAAACTGATATTTTTTCGTGGCCATCTCAGCCATTGATTTTGTGTTTGTATCGCAACACATTTTTTATAGCGATTTTTTTTTTGGCAGAAATTGAAAGTGATATTGGAAATATGATTCATGGATGTCCAAAGAAACCCTTTTTTTCCTGGCTTCTGTGCAGCCATTTTTTCCCGGCTTTTGTGCAGTCATTTTTTCCTGGCTTCTGTGCTGTAATTTTTTCCTGGCTTCTGTGCTGTAATTTTTTTACTGGCTTATGTTCAGCCATTGTTTCCTGGCTTCTCTACAGTCATTTTTTCCTGGCTGTAGCCATTTTGTCTAGCTGAGAACCATTTTTTCTTTAAATAAACTTCTTAATTAAAATTTAGTTAATGTTACTAGGTGAAGAAATGCATAAATATATTTAAACAAGTTTAGTTTACGCATTTGATCTTTCAATATTAAAGGTCGTGTCTGCTTCGTCCAGAAATATGCATTATTTAACCTTATAAACCACCCTTATCCCTTTATACTAATACCTTAAACATATATATTCAAAGAGAATAGAATATATATTAGAGTGGAATTTAGACAATCCCTCGCTATCAATTTTGTCAGTCCCTTTCAGCCTAAAAGGGAGTTCAAAGTGTACAAATCATGTAAATGTTCACAAATTATATGCAGTACATTAATACAGGTTTCCATAGACTATCCATTTCAATTTCAAATTATTTAAAGCTGTTAAATAAACTTTATAAAATGAATTATGTGAATAAAAAACATCATTTAATTGTAAAGTGAAAAGCATAGAGCCTATGTGAAAAGATCATTGGTCAATTATGAAACCAGCCTATTTCATAATTTGGTTTTCTTTTAATATTAATTTTAGATTTTCTATAAAATGATGTTCCATCGGCCCAAAAGGTTATATAGCACAAATATGTGAAGTACACCTGCAGTATGGAAACAGTACAACAAAATGGCCGTTTTACACTTTTTTTCTAGTAAATTCCACTTTAATATATATTCTATTCTCTTTGCATATATCCCATGCAAACTTTATAATTACCCTATTTTTCAAGCGCAATCTAATTTTTTAAGGAGTGGGGTTACATATTGTTTTTTTTGTACAAAGCAGGTCACAAAATTATGTTTCTTCATTAATGTTGATACTTTTTATTTTATTTTTCTTTTAAAATAAATCCTGCAGTACAACTAATATACATTCAATTCAGCAGCGGAAACGTGAATTGTATTAATTTTCATAAAACTAAATATAAAAGAATCCCGGTGTTATAAATGTAGACTTTTTTTGCACAGACAAAATAGTTTAAATAGTCTTAGTCATGATTTCGAACTTAAAATGTCAAGCGGTAGAGTATCACGTGCAACATGACTTAAGATTTAACCTTTCACCGTTATTCGTGTTATTTTTTCATTCAAATTAAGATTTATATATTTAAATAGTTACTCCAGAGAAATAATAGTCAACTTCGCCTTAGTATTGATGCTTTGCGCACATTTTCTGAGAGTTTTTTTAACATATCAGATTTAAAACGGATAACTAAAGGATTCTGAAAGTCCGGAGAAGGTTAAATTTATTCAACTTTACAGGTGCGACTTTGTGATATCGTAGCTCCGTTTTGATTTTACGCATATTTTATCAGAAAACCAAAATAACTTGGTTACATGTTAAACATTCAAAACATTTTTGTTCATCTCAATAGTTTTTCAATATGAGAAGTTGATATTGAAAGCATGTCCAAATATCACTCTAACAGGAAATTTACTTATTTTATGACGTGATATATATTTTATATATATAAATATAAATATCGATGTTTTAAATAAAAAAATTTTAATTTTTGTTCTGTTTGGATTTTTGGCATAAAAAAAATCAAAAATAATTTTTAAAGATTAAAAAAATCCGCGGCACTAATTTTTTTTTGAAAAAATAAAATATTTTGGAAATTTTTGGGAAAATGTTTATTTTGTCGTTTTCCAAAATTTTTTAAAAATTCATTACAAATTAAATGAGATATAACAAAAAATTGTTAAAAAATTTAGAGTGGCGAGAATTTGCAGAAAATGACTTTAAAATGCAAATAATTGGTTTACATTTTTGTAATATATCTCATTCTCATTTTTATAAAATTTTGGAAAACAATAGAAAAAACAATTTCTCAATTTTTTTAATTTTTTTCAAAAAAAATTGGTTTCGCGGTTTTTTTCAGCGTTCCAAAAATATATTCGAAATTTTTTATCACATTCTATTCTTTTATGCCTAAAATTCGAACAAATCAAAAATTAAAATTTATTTTCAAAAACATGGATAATCCCCTTTTTGTTACTTACCCTGAACTGTTACATATTATACAAATATCTCAACTTGAAGTGCGTACAGAATACAGATGTATTTTTAAATCCTTTCAACAAAAATGTATCAATATCAAGTTTTTTTCAGAGAAGATGGCGGCTTCTCCTATTAGTCAGCTTGCAAATTGGAACGACGATAAAGGAACATCGAGGGAGGGACTGCACAACTTCCCGGATAAGCTGGAGGGATGGCAGAACTCCAGAGAAGATGCATATCTAGAGGCTGCCGGACTCACTACAAACCAAATACAAACTTTTGCTTTTGATTATAATAAGGTAAAAATAATCATTTGCTGAAAGGATTGGTTGAGTTATTTATAAATGCATATAATATCGAAAGTTTTTGCTACTTATCTGAGCCTAATGTCTGCTCAAAGATAGCTTTAAATTCCAGGAATATAGATATGGTTAAAAATTAACCTTAAAAGTTTATCTTCCAGTAATAATCCGCACATAGTATCTCCTTTTTTCCGTTCGCTTCCAAATAATTGAAGAAATATCTTAAGAATTATAAGAGATATAAGCACACTGCACCTGCCTATATATTAATTGTATTCTTTTTGCAAAAAGAATTCAACGCTAAATTTTCTTGCCTTTGCTTGTTTTCTGTTATTTCGCTTAATAAAGAGCGGTTTACTTTTTCATATTAATTTTATGGTCGCTCGTTATTTCTTCTCAAGATGTATATTATAATAATGTTTCTTTGTCTGAATGGAGTTTCTTTATCATCTAACATTATTATTATTTATAGATGTCTGGCTTTCTTTTCCCACAGAACACAGACCAAAAGAAAACAAAGAAACAGGGCAAGCAACCAAAGATTACAGAACAAATTGATTCACAAATAAAGGAGAATATAAGCATGAATCCAAACATGGAGTTTGGAGGGTCAGAAAATGAAAAAATGTATATTGAAAGCGAAGACGAAAACAATCCAGATGATTTAGAACGTAGACTTTCAAATCAAGAAGGTAAGATTTTGGTAATTTCTATCTAGGATGAAAGCCTCGTCTTTGAATCGTATTTTGTTTATCTATTAGCAAACAATAACAAAGAAACAATTGACATAAGGCAAATATTTTATTCTGACTATACATAAACCTTCCCTGGTCATGTGAGGTCCTACAAAACATTTGGGCCGGATCGGTTCAGCCGTTTGGACATAAACAAACACAATAACAGACAAGCAAGGTCGTCATTTTTTCTCGTTCTAAAATTTTCGCGAAATGTTTTGTTTAAATTTGTGTGCGTTTTCAAAAACAAAAAATTTTGACATTTTTTACGGGAAAAAATGTTCGACGAGCCGTGATTCCCGTGAGCCTTCCCCAGGTCATGCGAATTGCCACAAAAATTTTGGGTTCGATCGGTTCAGCCGTGTTTACTTGTTTTGGATACAAACATATCAACACACACCCAAGCAAAGAAAATAGATTTACGACAAAGTTTGAATGCAATATTACACAATAATATATTCTCGAATTATTAGCCATCCTATAGAATAAACATAGCTTAGAGACTATAAAGCAATGTATACATATCTACAATATAATTTCAATACATTTCATATTTTCATTAAAGAATCTAAGACAATTTTTTCAGCTGAACTTCGGATTATTCAAGAGTCGCGGAAAAAGCTTAAAGGCGGAAGAAGAGGATCGAAAAAAAAGTTAAACATTTCAAAAATAATGAATCGACATTTAAATTACCAAAATTTGTTTTCAAGTTTTTTTTTCTTACAATCATTTCAATACATTACAGAACAGACCACCCGTTTTCCAAACTAGTCAAAGGATAAAATTATTGATTCAAATATAGCACTCCATTCAAAAATGATCGAGTTTGATTTCAAATAAATCTCAAAATTTTGTAAACCAGCACTTTAAAATTTTATAGAAACTTGATTGAAATTCTTTTTTCTTAATTTTGTAAATTTTGTCAAATTGTTGCAGAAGTGTATCTGGTGATATGTTACAAGGTGGAAATCTCATCAGAGCTTTGGCGGGAAATTTATCACCATTTAATGCACAGGTGTACAATTTATCTACAGTCATAATCATACTGACCCGGAATAAAATTATAATTAATCAGACTACTTAGCAATCTTATTTTACAAATATGATTAATGGAACGATAATATCCCTAATCCTGCCAATTCCAAAAGTTTTCTTCGTTTAAAATTACCAGAGATACGAATGTAGCACGTCAAACTAAAGTAAAATGCAAGTAAGATTAATAACTTATATGTTTTTGATCATAACTTCTGTTATTGAAGAGATATTGAAAAGAACAAAAATGTTTTGAATTTATAATATGTAACCTAATAAATTAGCTTTTCTTACACTTGTACGCAAAATCAGAACTAAAGGAGCAACGGAGTCAAAAAGCTGTGACAGTAATGTCAATTGAAATTGACCTTCTCCTTCTGGTTAGTTCGCAGTGGTAAAGTCAACTGATTAACTGTCAATTAATTCCGGGTCTGGTTATGATTGTACTTTAACTATCTTTTTCCTTACATAATAGAATTAGAAAGAGAATATGATACATAATTCAATGTTGGACCTGGTAGACTTCTATTTATCATAGAAATTTGAAAGAAAGAAAAAATCTTGAAGTAAAATTTATAGATTCAACTAACAATATTTATGTTGTCGGATAACCGGATAATTTTTGTTAATTATGTCAAGTTTGTATGTTTCTTATGGCCTTTTTAATTATACCAAATTAGAAAAAAAAGATTCATTTACATTAAGGGAAAGGGGTATTCGAGACCATAATTATGCAATATATGTAAAGTAGATTATACATGTGTACTTTTAATAAATTAAAAACAAGCTCTTTCTACTCCGCACATTCTAATCTCACATCTTTCTAAAAAAAAAAAGAATTAAAAATAGATATAATATTTGATATTACTCCATATTTTTCCAACTAGTTCTGCCAGTAAACCACTTGTTATTTACTTAACATCAATTTTTCACATGTAAATTCTTAATCCTTTATTCTTTTGTTAAGGTTGTAAAGTTCATGAATGATTATGAGCTGGTCTCCCGACTTTATCTGCACTATTATATGTATGCGGGGAAATAAATTGCATTCTTTTTGCATTCTTTTTGCACCATCTGTCACTTGACATCCTTTACAGCAAACCATTATTCTTTAAAAGCAGCATTTTACTTCAAATATATTTTCTTCAGTTGAGATACTTTTTCCTCCTAACTGAAGAAGAAGTTTTTTTTGTGAAGGGGAAAAAAAATAAAGGAAACAGTGGTAAGAAGGAAAAGGGGAATTGAGAAAAATATAAAAATAAGGGAAAATGAAAAATACAAATTTAGAAGTAGGATTTTTTTGGAAAAGCCAGGACAAAAGACTAGAAAACTGATGAAAGTAAAGAGATTTTCAAAAAGATTTGAAAGGAACTGTAAACCTAATATTGATGGAGTGGCATGTCCAATTCAAAATAATAACGTGAAAAGGTCTTTTCTAGTTTAACTAGATATCCATGTTGTTTTCTAGAAACTATTTATTCTTACTTGTTGGTTCTCTGCGAAAGTGTCTTTGAACTCCCTAAACTTATCCTTTTTCCATTTTGTTTGGTCTAGGAAGTTGCAAAAATAGAAAGTTTTATATATTAATAATTTGCAATAAATCGCAGCACCCTACCCCTATACCTTTCAAAGAAACGTTTGTCTTTCTTATTTCTTTCAAATGTTAAAAAATTCATAGTTCCAACTGTTCTTCTATTTAACTTTTGAATTTGAAAATGTCTTGTTGCATAAAGAAACATGGGAATCAATGACGACCTACATTAGTTTTTTCTTATTAGATTTCATTGTTATCTCCCCCCCCCCCCAGCTTCTACATTTTTTAAAAATCCTGTTTTCTCCCAAAGAGATATAAAAACCATTTTAAACTCTCCTCTATACGGTTCTTAGTACTTGGCAATGGAGATGATAAGTTCTCAAAGATAAAATGTTTTTGGAGTGATCTTTTAGTAGGTCTCTAACTTAACGACCAAGCATTTGTTTTTATCATAATTTCATTTAATTTTATATCTTTAAAGTGTATAAATTTGTTAGCATTGTATATTATATTGCAATAGAAACCGTTGTAATTAAACCATAAGATATGAAATAATAATAATCCAGCTTCTCAGTAAGCAAGCCAGATTTTAAAACTGTAGGATTTTTCGTAAAAATTAAGCTGTGCGTATTCTTTAAATATTTAAGAAGATCATTCGGTGTTTATTGGGTCTAGCTAATTCACACCACTGTTATATCTTAATATACCTACAGACTAAACAGTATCTCTTATGAAATATATTTTTGTTGCTAGAATCTGTTAAAAACTTTATACTCTGTAGATTATTTCCATATTTCTAAAGAATATTTTTGTAAAAATGTAATCTATGTATGGATGCATATCTTGTATAGCCTTATCTGTTTGGCTAAACATGTAAAGGAATATTTTCTCTTTTTTTCCCTATCTTATAAACGCTTCTAAAGCGATCAAACTTATTTACATTTTCAACTTCATAAATTAGCACATATTTTGCCAAAAATAAAATACAGTCTATAACTTTATTATAATTTGAACTACAAATCTAAAATATACTTTTTTAAAAGCCCTGAAAAGATGGATTAAGTGGTGTGTCCCATGTCAATATTTATCCAGATTAAAAAATAAATTTTTTAAAAACTTTTCCGACGTAGTTTTTGATTATTTTAAACCTCCCTGTTACCCGAACCAATAAAGATAGAGGTATTATTTTTGTTTTAATTAGTTGGCCTTGAAAAGTTGGACTAGGATCATATGCATATTAATCTCCCCTATCTCAACTCTAAGATGATGAAGTTATTGGAGGGGGTGCAGAAGCGTATTCAGGAATTTTTCAGGGGGGGGGGCTTAAATTTTTTTTTCTTTTCAGGGGGCCTTAAATCAATAGATTTCACTGATCCAGGGGGGGTCTTAGCCCCCCCTAATACGCCTCTGGGGGTGGGGGGTGTTACACCGGGGCCCATCATCACCCCCTTTATTAGCCAAAAATAGCCTAATTGGGATAGGGTTAACAGGGTCGAATATTGCCGCACATCTTTGTGTGGAGTGTTCAATTTTCTACAAAAATGAGATTAGGAAATCTCCAGAAATATTTTTTCCAGGAACCAACAAGAACCAGACTAGAAGATAAGATAAGATTCAATATAATCACGACTTTAAAGGGAGTGTTCGCGAAAAATGAAAGGGGGTATAGGCTTAATGCGATAAAAAAGCGCTTTTGATCGCTACTAATCTTAGTTCTATCTGTTGCGTCTATAAGGAGAAAATTGTTAAATACGTCTCATACCGAATAACTTAGCGGTCATACAAATTGAGAAAATTACAACATACTAATTAGACCGTAAAAAATCAATTTAATTTCAAACAAATCATTTAGATATTACAACAATTTTTTTCGGAAACGTTTTCAACGGATTTCGAACATTGTGAGTGGTGTGCGGCATTCTTAGATAGTTGCGCAAGTGACAAGAGAAACAAACAAATTAATTTAAAAATATTGTAAGATATAAACTATGTACAAATGTGGCGAAAAATAATCGATGACTATAGGTTGTAATATCTGAATGATTAGTTTGAAATTAAATTGATTTTTTACGGTCTAAGTCGTATGTTGCAATTTTCTCATTTTGTATGGCCGCTAAGTTATTCGGTATGAGACCTCTTTAACAATTTTCTCCTTATAGACGTAGCAGATAGAAGTAAGATTAGTATCAATCAAAAGCGCTTTTTTATCGCATTAAGCCTATACCCCCTTTCATTTTTCACGAACACTCCCTTTAAATGTTTTTAGGTTTTATCTTTTGAGTTCAGAGATGATGTTTCCAGTTTTCAAGTTGTTCTTTCAGACGGAGTAAACAGTTCACACAGGAAACATGATAAACAAATAATGCAACTATTTTTAATTACAAAGCTTGTAAATAAAAATTGGATTATATTTAAAACTATCAAAAAATCTAATAAATGTCATCGAAACGTTTTAACTGTTTACGGGACAAATGAGACAATTCCCGGAGACGGGAGACGGGATAAAATGCTTGAAAAATGTTACAAAACAACGGCTAGATTAACTTATTTAGAAAAAGCGGAAACAGCTTGAATCCGAAGCTTGCTTCTCTAAAATTTTCCTGTGGAATTTTATTCCAAAATTTTATTTCTGCACTTTGTGTTTCCTAAAGGAAATTATTACTCGACGCATCCTCTAGTTTTATAATTTATATAACTTGGCAACCTGATGGTGTAAACATGACATCAGATTGCAAGATCAGTTAGTATCAGTTCCTTTGGCCTAGAGCCATTTAAACATTTGAAATCTTAAGTAAAAAAATCAATTAAATTATATTTTTGTAAAAATTAAATTTGTCATGAACTTTTCTAGGTGCTTCTTAACCTCTAGAACTGTTAGTAGAATAACGAAGAATAAACTAGGAATAAATACAAATATAACAATTCTTTTCTTTTCTTAAACATGAAACAAAATTGTTTGCCTTGAATTTAGTTTTCCAATTGTGAAAGGAATTCAAGAGAAATCGATTTGGAATCAGGTTTTTAACTTTCCCATCTAGTTTGAAAGTTTAAATTTGAAATGCAAATTCAAATGTTCCATTAATTTAAACTCGACATAATCCTTGATCTGCGACCAAAATAGAATGATTTGTTTTTCCAACTGTTCAATCTGCAAAAATTCATAGAATTAGTTTAAAATATGATTTTCAACCTTCGGGTCCAGGATGGTGCAGTATTTAGTCGGTATTAAAATATGATTTTCAACCTTCGGGTCCAGGATGCTGCAGTATTTAGTCGGTATTAAAATTCAATAAATTCTATTAGAAATGTTACAAAAGAAAGTATTGATTCCTTTAACCTTTTTCTTTAGAAACCTTGGGTTATTTTAATAAGGACATGTATTGATGGATGAGCCTCGTTGAGGTGCTTTTTAACGTTTAAGGTTTTTTACATAATAAGTGCTCCTAAAGAACGCGAGTTATTTGTCATATTTCAAAATTGTATTGTAAAGCAAGCATATTAAGCATGTGATTTTGAAATAGTGTACACATTTTTGTATGTGTGACATTTTTTCTGAAATCCATTTAAAGAAGCAAAATTTCTATTTTATTTGGAATTCTCTATTTTAAAGGGTTTTTATAAAGACTAGCCCTTAAAACTATGCCCCTGAGTAATCAAAGCCTATCCAGGCCCGGGGGGGGGGGACTGACTCACACTCTGTGGTATTCAGTTAACGTAAATTTGCTGGTGTAAACCAGGGGCTAAAAAATAATTATTTTTTCTCAAAGATTTAAACTCATTGATTTCCACAGCGCATTTTATAGATGCTTTTTCGTATGATTTTCTACTTCAAATTCAATTTATACCATTATTTCCTTAAAAATCCTATTTCCATTTATTTTTAGTTCTTCAGTAAATTTAAGCAAAAATTTCGAGTTCGTTTGGTTTTTTAATCGTTTACGGCACTTGAAACAATCATCATTTAAGACATTACTGGCAAGTTTGTAAGAAAAGAAAAAAAAATTAGTTAAACATGTATTTGTCAAATTTTGCAGTCATTATACGTGTTGAATATTTTGAAGTAAAAAATCAAACAATCCATATCAACAAGTACTTCATTGTCAGCAAGGAGCAGCAGGTTATTGGAGATCCTGTTCCTATCAAACAGTTTTCAACACTTGATCCTACAATCCAACTTTTCTCTTCTCCTTCCAGTAATCTCCCCTGTCCTCATCTAAACGAAATCCCAGAGTTACATGTAGAGAAAAACATAGATATATCTCTGACTGAAGATCATGAAAAACTTATTGACGATTTTCTTAAATTTACCAATAATGATTCAGTTAGAGAAGGGGCTGAAGACAGAGCACAACTAAACAGTAATCTGTCTGCTCTTACTAAAGTTAGTATTTTAACAAAGTAAAATAATGTTTTTTATATTAGTTTTATTCAAGGTACGTTGGGATCATTGCTATACTGAAACTGGTTATTTTTCTAATTTGGATACTTACATCGGGGCATCTGAAGGTAAAAATAGATTCTGATTCGTGATTGAACTGAAAGATTTGTGTCTTTCTGAATGTTCAATGTTTTTTGTCCATACTAAGATATAATTGCTAAGTACAGCTAAAAACATCAAATTATTTATTTTGTTCATCCTTGCTGCAAAGGTTTTATAAAAATCCTGAAATTTGCAAATATCCCAATTCTGTCAAAACTTTTATTTCTTTTCATATATAGAGCTTGGTTTAATTTCCGACATGTCATTGATTTTTGCTTAAATATACATCCTCAGTATTTTTCACTGGTTTCAGTTTTGGACGATGATAGACTTGTGTTGGCGAGAAAAGGACATCAGGAATTGATCATATATTGATGAAAATTAAGGCGACATCCCTTATTCCTAGAATTTATGATAAAAATTAACTGTTTACGTGAAGTAATAAGCTTGTCACAAATGTTTACCTAAAGATAAATATTTAGTAATTATTTTAAACATATTAATATTTAAAATTCCCTCCTTTCAAAAATATATGTTCTGAAGGATATCTGCAACATTTCTTTCTCAAACTTTGAGAATCAACCCTTCTCCACCATGGAGGTTGGAGCAGAGTGTGAGCTGTAGCTGAATTGCCATGTCTCCCTCGGAAATCTTAGCATTTGTTGCAGTATCCACCACCCCTCTGTGATCTAAAATGTGGTTCTTTATCCTCTCAGTTTTTAGCGTGCAGTGCATTTGCTACCCACCCCTCGTGTGTTCTTAAACATTTCTTACATTAAATCTGTGATTTATCATATTATTATTTGGTGCACTTACAATTCCTTCCTCTGTAATATTAACTATTTAGAATTTATGCATCCATTAGAAATTGATATGGATAATTTTTATCCTTTAAGTGTACAGTTTTAAAACATTTTCTTGTCCAGAATGACAGAAAAATATTTGTAATTTTAAAACGGCATTTTAGAATAAATTCATATTTAGTTTTTTACTATTTATAGAACGATAATTAGATTTACAAGATTATGATTATCAAGAAGAGAACTGATTTAGTTATTCAAGATTATCTATAAAATATTACAGATCAAGTATCGGTCATCAACACCACTGATCACAGATTCGCCTCTAATTCTGATTGGGGAACTCGGTAGAATCACTGGAGCATTCTAAGCATGGTTTATAAATTCTAAGGGTTCCCATGGCTTTAATACGTATACAGAGGGATGTACCTTTTTAAGACAATACATTTTTTTGGTTGCAAAACCCAATTAGGTCAGAAAACATTCAGATTATTTCTCTCAATACAAAAACCATCGAAGCCAACATTCATAAACTTATTTTCCTGTAAAAAATTGAATCTAGTTGTCATAAAACAACCCTATACATATACAGAAAACAGGAAGAGTGTTGTAGACCATAAAAAAGCCAAGTTTGCGGATGAAATTTGATAGAGGGGGGATTACCTTTATTTACGGGCAAGAAAATGAAATAATGCCCAAAGAAGATAGATGGAAAAAATGGGTATTTCAATTCAAATATAAGCTAATTCCAAGAATGGGTAGGATGGGGGGAGGGGAGGATTAAAAAAGATTTACATGAAAGAATCCCTCAGAGCATAGGTTTACTCTATGGTGTATCCTAGTGTGTATCCTATTATTAAATAAGTAAATAATACAATAGGTTTCCGATCCATACCTGTCAATCAACCAGGGACAGATCAATTGCGTAATGGACAGGGCAAGGGGGGAAAGTGATTAGGATAGGATGGGAAGGAGCAGTGTGAATAGGAGAGGGAGAAGGCGTGGGGTGGGGAGACTAGCAGGGAAGAAGGGTAGGGGGGAGGGGGAAAGATGACAAAGAAAGGAAGAAAAGGATAGGGGGAATGGTTATGAAAGGTGACAAGGAAAGGAAGAAAAGGATAGGGGGGATGGTTATGAAAGGTGACAAGAAAAGGAAGAAAAGGATAGGGGGATGGGTATGAAAGATGACAAGGAAAGGAAGAGAAGGATAGGGGGATGGTTATGAAAGGTGACAAGGAAAGGAAGAGAAGAATAGGGGGATGGTTATGAAAGGTGACAAGGAAAGGAAGAGAAGGATAGGGGGGTGGGCTGAAAGATGACTAGGATATGAAGGGAGGGGAGGGATGATTTGGGTGATAGGAAGGAAAACGATGGTTAGGGAAAGAGAAGGGCTGATTTTCTAAACTTCAACTTTGTCAATGTTTAAAGATTTACTAAAACTAGGCCAATCGTTATCAAGCAAAATGTTGTATATATCGAAAATAAGCTGATTGCAGAAATATAGCTGAAAATGAAAAAAAACATCGTAGGGTTCAAGTGCAGTTTCTTTAAAGGATATTCTAAAATTTCCTTTTTTTTAATACTTCATTTTGAAAATTATTGATAAGTTTCGATTCTTTTCGCAGTCGATAAAGTTTGTTATTATTATAAAAAAAACACTTTCGCAAAATCCATATCTTCATGAAAACCTTGTCATTACTTGACAACCCTGTATTGTAAGAAAGGAAATATGCAGTTTTAATTTTCAATTTCGGATTGTAGTAGTGCAAACATATTGGAATTCAGAACCTTTCTTATCTAAACATTTCACTAACTTCATATTTTTATTCTTAAAATAGATATTTTTGGTCCTTTCTGTGTTTCCCTGTGTAGGGTGCAGAGTATCATTTCAAATTTACATTATTTAGACATTTAAATTCTAAACGGTAGGCCACTAGGGGAGTTAATGTGTACATACCAATTCCAGTAAAATCACAAAACCATTCCCAAAATTCAAATCCTGGATTTATAATAATATATAAAAAAGGTTTATAATATTTAGAATACTGTGAAATATTGAAAATTAAAAGATTCTTGTGTGAATCAATATTTAACTTTTTCACATACTGTTAAATTTTATTAAAAAGTCTTTTTGAAGAAAAAACAGAAAGTGAAGTTAATAAAAAGTATTATATATATCCTGAACAAGTGTTTCCGAACAGTTGGTCTGTTCAGACTTGTTCACTGTTAAAGCATACAATCACTCTTCATCATTTATAACACAAAAGTTTTACTACCCAAACCTTGCACATTGCAGAGATGGAGACCAGGTTTCTTGTTGCCTGGAAAACCTCGTTAAACTGTTTGAGTCCTGGTAAAACCTTTTCCTCCAATAAATCTTGGTTAGAAGGTAAAAGGATGCTATGACTGGGAGAAAAAATAAGTAAAAGGAGAGTGTACAAATAAAGAGAGTGAATGAAAGAATGAAAATTAAAGACAGTAAAGAAAAGAATTAAAGATTACAACATTTATGGCAAAATAAAGGAAGCAGAAAATGTTGAGTGTAAAAACTTATGATAATGAAAATTGATAAGAGAAATTGTATTCAGAAAAAATAGCTAAAGTTTTTTTTCAAACTTAATTCAGATAAGTTTGCAATAACGTTGATTGTCTATTAAAAATTCCTGCCCGGGATTTTTTCTTTTATATTGATTTGTCTATTTTTCTGTTCATTTATCTGTTTATCAGTCCTTCTATATTCTATTCTAAGTTTGCTTGTAATCATGAAGTATATACACAATCCAAGCCTCTCTCCATGCTTGAACATAAATTCTAAACTATACTTGATTTAAGAACAGACTCAGAGCAAACTTACACAATCTACATAAACTATCAGAGGAGAGGAGGAGGAAAAGGCAAGGAAAGTCAATTGCGGTCGTGTATACTCTGTGTACATATTGAAACCAGTTCTCTTTGGGCGGAATTTGTAAACAATAATAGATGCATCAGTGTTCGTTTAGTATCCGAGGAGGTTAAAAGCATTAAATTTTGATAATTTTGATAATTGACATAATAATTTCCTATGACCAGAATATTTCATTGATTTTTTATGTGAATGATGGATCCCATGTCAGGCTTCGACATCCGTCTTGTGTTTACATTAGCGCCCAGAGAGAGTACACTGCAGTACTAAAGATGTGCACACTTCTGAAATGACTTTCCTTGCCTTACATCCTTGACACAGCCAAATTCTGAGCAAGTATAGCGTGATTTGTACATTATACGACTGTTTACAATTCATGTACACAGGTTTCAGAAGGAAAAACGGAACAGTGTACCAAATTGATGTATATATTTGAAAATATGTTTAAAAGGAAAATTTGAAATAGTTCAGTTTCTTTCTGAATACCTCGGTTGGGTTTAAGGAAACAAAAATGCCAGACCACATTTTAGAAATTCCGAAATAACTGAAAAAAAAACTATTATATTAATTAATATCTATTAATTAATATACCCTAATAGTGAAGTTGTAGCATCACTAATTTACCTAAATAGTGTAAGCTGTTTTTATACCTGTAAACCACGTCAATGGTAACAATATTACAGTTTAAATTTAGACATGCAAAACTTTTCCTCCAATTATCAAATTACAAATTAACGATGATTGGGGCTCAGCCTACCCCTTGAATGCATCAGTGAAATCTATGATTTCCAGGATATTTTTTGCCCCAACGAGTGCTGAGCCCCCCCCCCCTCAGACAGAATATTTTAAACAAATTCCTGCATTCGCCCGTGGATACGAATTAAAACTTCTTAATTTGTCATTTATAGGATCTCTTTATAAAATAAAGCAAAAGTCGTGACTTTACTACGCATCTCATTTTTTTTTAAAGAAAAAAAAAAGTTTAGTTTTCTCGTACTATAATAAAGGGATATTTTCCATTTCCATTGCCATTTCCATAGTCCAAAGAAATCCAATATTAGAAAGGGTAAAATTTAAAACCCAAACATATGTTTTAAGATTGAGTTTTTTTCGCAAAAAATGTTGGTGCCAATTCTTTAAATTATGAAGGCTTTGTACGTACGTCTTAGAGTATGTTTTTCTTAATATCTTAAAGTTTACTTTAGAGGAGTACGAATTCAGCATGAATTTTTATATTCTGAAATAAATTAGCAGTTTAAAATCTAGTCTCAACTGGGTTTGGTTTGGATTTAAGTGGGATTGTTGCAGGTGGTGGGAAATATTGGACCCTAGGGAAGAATATACTGTATATACTGCGGTACTCCCATATCTGTGCCTGCCTTCTCTATATCTGTATATGCCTAAACTAATTTTGATTGTTTATCAATGCTAGTCTCTACCAAGGAAGATACAACAGGAACTCACTTTACTTCTAGATTCTACCAAGGAAGATACATCAGAAACCCTCATTGCTGCTAATTTACACCAAGGAAGATTCCCCTTTAACCCTCAATGCTGCTAGTTTTTACCAAGGAAGATACACCTTAAACCACCTATTGCTGTTAATTTATACCAAGGAAGATACAACAGGAAACCCCATTCTTGCTAGTTTTTACCAAGGAAGATACACCTTGAACCCACATTGCTGCTAGTTTATACCAACGAAGATACAAATGCAGGAACCACCATTGCTGATAGTTTTTACCAAGGAAGATACAACAGAAACCTCTATTGCTGCTAGTTTAAACCAACGAGGATACAACAGGAACCACCATTGCTGATAGTTTTTACCAAGGAAGATAAAACAGGAACCCCCATTGCTGCTAATTTATACCCTAGGAAGTAACAACAGGTACCCCCATTACTCATAGTTTTTACCAAGGAAAATAAAGCAGGAACCCACATTGCTGATAGTATTTACCAAGGAACATATACCATGACCACCCAATGCTTATAGTATTTACCAAGGAATATACACCATGAACACCCAATGCTGATAGTATTTACCAAGGAACATATACCATGAAAACCCAATGCTGATAGTATTTACCAAGATACATATACCATGAACACCCAATGCTGATAGTATTTACCAAGAAACATATACCATGAACACCCAATGCTCATAGTATTTACCAAGGAACATACACCATGAACACCCAATGGTGATAGTATATACCAAGGAACATATTCCATGAACACCCAATGCTGATA